TGTTGGCTGGATCCTGGAGGGCTCTAGAAATAAATTGCTCCATGTAGGAGACCATAGAAAATGCCCATAGTGTAGTAGGTCGAATATCTAATTTATTGGTTAAAACGTAATATAAATAATACCAAAGCTCCAATTAAAGCAGAGTATGCAGCAGGGTAAAAAAAAAATATTTAAGCAGGCTTCTACACCCGCCCATCCCTTAAAGGGATCTCTGGCCAGCTGGACCATATTTCCATCCGTGAGCTCCTGAAAGGCACCGACATACCCAGAAAGAGGATTGCCCAGGATTAGGACCACATCCAACACCTAGGCAAGACCCCTGCAGTGATATGTAACTGTCAATTTTAATACGTGTTGCCAGTTCATATATTTTCGGACTGGATGCAATTTGAACCACATCCAATCCGCATGACATGTGAAATAACATTGCTTCCTATGGTGCCTGTTCACCTACAGTATGTCTGGTGCACTGGCAGTGCAGATTGAAAAAGAGTCATGTCCGATTTCTGAGCAGTGCGCTCCAGGTTCAGGTGTGGATTACAGGCTATTGACTTCTATGGGAACAGTTTCTAAACCACACACGTCATCAATTGTGAACAGGATAAAATCCTGACCTGAACCTGATCTAAACCTGTCCTGAACCGCTGAACAACTACTGTGTCAATTAGCTGTGAAACCTGAGCTTTAATCCGCACTGCACATTTGTGAATCGGCTCTAAGCCTAGATTCACACCTATGCAGGTTGTGTTTGGGCTGTTTCTGCATTGTGTTTTGTGTTGCGTTTTTGCACCTGCATTTTTGATGCATTTTTGCCATGTTTTCTATGCGTTTTGCTTTTTTTTGTTTTTTTTTTTAATTTTTTGTTTTTTCTTGTTGTTAGGCAGATTTAAAACACAAAATGCATCAAAAACATGGCAAAAATGCAGCAAAAATGCAATACTTGCTTTTCTGCAGCATTTCCATTGAAGTCTATATAACCAAAAACGCATTCAAAAAAGTCCCTGACCCTTTCCAAAAAACGCACCTGGTTAAATTATGCAGATGTGTCCCTTAGGAAATCATTTTAAATGGACCGTACTGCGTTTCTGCAAAACGCTGCAGAAAACGCTTAGGTGTGAACCTAGGGTACATGTAACGCTTACAAGTATTTATCAGCTCCCCACAGAGATCGATGTACTCCTGAGAATGCTTTCCTCAGTTCTCCTCTTTAAAAGGACAGGGACGTGCTGGCAGAGATACTTGATTCTATTGAGTGTCCAGGTTCACAGGGCTCTAAGTGTGATTTAGAAGATGGATAATGTTCTGGTACCTGCTTTTATGACCTGGACTGATGGTTATACTGCTTTGTCTGAGCACAAACTTGTTTTAAATCATGGAGATAAAAAGAATGATGTTCCCCTTTAAGCTGTGCTGTCACTGTATATGGCTGTTTGCCTCTATACATATTCTAGTACCTGCGTTGTACAGAGACAAGGTCAGTGATGTCGGGGACAATGTCGTGCTCTCCTGTTTGCAGTTGGGTGTTATTAAACAGGTATATAAGTCAGTCAGGAAACAGCTTGCGTTATGCCAGGCAGATGGTGCAGGCAAGGCTTGTCCCTCACGGGGCTGGCTAGATCATCATCATCAACTCAGACACTAATTTTCTTCTTAATAGAAGCTGGTATGTAGGATGTTCAGTATACCTGGGAGAACGGGCTGAAGTAGACAAGACACATAATTCTATGGATATACGGGAAGCTGCCACCATGAATAGAAGAAATAGGCTGGTATTGGGTTACTTCACCTTATTAACCTTTTTTTTGTTTACCTGTACCAAACTCCATCCCTTCTTCATAGTTACTTTTCAATTTTTTTTTCACTAACTATTCATTGATGTCATTCCGATCCTTTTTTTTTGCTGTAGGTCCCCAGTGCATGAAAAAGTCCCTAAATGTATTTGAAAGATCAGACAAGGAAAAACAGGGCTTAGGTTAGATTCAGGTACGGGAGTGTGTGTCATCACATGCATTCCCGCACGACATGCAGCAGCGCACAAAATGTTTTAAAAAAAAACATTCAGGGTTTGCCATTAACTTTTAATGGCACCCACATGCACTGAAAAACTCAATGCGGTTTCCTGAACACAGAAATGTATGGTACCAAGGTAGGGACAGGGACCTTTTTCCTGTAGCAAATGCAGGTACAAAGGTCCATTCAAATGAATAGACTGCTATGCCTCTGCAAATGTGGCATGCAGAACCACAAAGTATTTTTTCAGAAGTGTATACTTCTGTGTTTTTTTACAATTACATGCTTAAAGAGGAGCATTTATTTGTTACTGACCATTTGTTCTTTAACCACTTGCCTTCCTGAGGATTTACCCACCTTCCTGACCAGATCATTTTTTGCGTTACGGCGCTGCATTACTTTAACTGAAAATTGAGCGGTCACCCAAATGAAATAACTTTTAATGGCACCCCCATGCACTGAAAAACTCAATGCAGTTTTCTGCACACATGGTGCAGCATGTTTAACCAGCATTTATTTATTAAAAAATAAAATTCACTCACAAGTGAGGTGTCCAGCTGACATTGGCATTGCACGCATAGATAAAGAGGAAAACACCACTCCGTTTGCTCAGTGGCAGTGGCAGGGAACATCCTGACGTCAGCATCCGACAGACCACACCCTACGCATTTCGTCACTGACGTCTTCATGGGGCGGAAACGCGTAGGGCGTGGTCTGTCGGATGCTGAATTTAATTTTTTAATAAATAAATGCTGGTTAAACATGCTGCGCCATCATATTCTTTTTTTTTTTTTAATGTGGTCCCAATTTTTGGAGCTGTGGTGATTGTCCACTCATGAAGAGTGGCTGCAGAGTATTCCTCCTCATTTCCTGCCTAAGATATAGAAGGGGTTTATCAGCTGGATTCTTATACTACAATATAATACATCGAAAGTCTGGAGTTTGGTGGTGTCTACGCTCCCAGAGCAAAAAACGCTAAGGCTGGTCTATAACTTGATCAGCACTTAGCTCTGGTGAGTGCATTTGATTGATTCGGTGGTGGACTATTCACAAAGTTTGGCATATTTGTCACATGGATTTTTCTGGATTTTGAATAAATTTGATTTAGAGAAAAAAATTCCTTCCTGATCCCCCAAGAGGCGATCGGATATTCCCTGGATCAACTTTACCTATAAATGTTAGTATCCAGTTATATTCTGTGTATCTAAGAAAGAATCCAGGCCTTTTTAAAAGCAATCCACTGAGCTGGCCAGAAACAACTCTTGAGGGAGTCTATTCCACATTTTCACAGCTCTCACTGTGAAGAAACCTTTCAGTATTTGAAGATTAAATCTCTTTTCCTCCAGATGTAAAGAGTGCCCCCTTGTCCTCTGTGATGACCTCAGGGTGAATAGCTCTACACCGAGTTCACTATATGAACCACTGATGTGTTTATACATGTTGATCATATCCCCCCCTTATGTATTATACATGGAGATCATATCCCCTCCTTATGTATTATACATGGAGATCATATCCCCCCTTATATATTATACATGGAGATCATATCCCCTCCTTATGTATTATACATGTTGATCATATCCCCCCTAATCTCCTCTTCTCAAGAGAGAATACATTCAGTTCCTCTATTCTTTCCTCATAGATGAGCTCCTCCATGCCTCTTAGAGAAATGTATGGTGCCAAAGTAGGGACAGGGACCTTTTTCCTGTAGCAAATGCAGGTACAAAGGTCCATTCAAATGAATGAGCTGCTATGCATCTGCAAATGTGGCATGCAGAACCACTTAGACAGTAAAATGACTGGATTGAGCTTGCTGTCTAATGCTTTATACAGCTTAGGCGCCATACAGGTACTCTTTCTGTAGGAGTGGTGGCATCAAAAACAGTGGACTGTACCAACACCAGCTCACACCCTTGGAAAACTGCAGTCAGACAAGACTTTCTCATTTGTTCAGTTGCTGATTATTCGGGATGGGGTTGCACTGCTACCATGGGTTTAGGGCAAATTCAAGATTGTTGGTCCTGGCAAATTTTGTACAGATTTGCATAGGAGAGTTTTTTAAACCATATGTGCTTCATGGCCTTTGACCTATGGTTAGCTTGCTTTCAAGGGTCAATAAGGGTGCTTTTGGATGAGCTAGCATCCACAATATAAAAATGTGGGAGTGGGGGGCAAAGAGCAGCGATGGTTGGAAAATTGGGAAATTTGACAAAGTGCATAGGTTAAGATTAGACTCAGTAAACTGTACTATAATTCTGATTGCTAGCTCTTTGGGTAATCAACACTTTTGCTGCTTTTTTTTTTGTTCTCATTATTGAGGGCTTTTGGTCTTTCAGTTTATTTTGTGATTAATTTGAAGCCAGTGGCCACTTTTGGCTGCTGTCCTGTCCATAGAAAACTTTTTTTTTTGTTGTTCCAAGATTTCCCTTTTTAAAAAAAAAGGTGGACTTTTGGTGTAAAGGGGTGGAATTTTGAGGTTTTCAGTTCTGTGTTTTCTTTTATGGGAGTCTTATTTATGATTACATGCTTAACCACTTGCCCTCCTGAGGATTTACCCCCCCCACCTTACCAGGCCATTTTGTGCATTATGGCACTGCGTTACTTTAACTGACAATTGCACGGTCATGCAATGCTGCACCCAAATGAAATTTACGTCCTTTTTTTTCCCAGGAGTTGAGCTTTCTTTCAGTGATATTTGATTACCTGTGTGTTTTTTATTTTTTGCACTATAAACAAAAAAGCACCTACAATTTTGAGAAAAAAAAAAACAAAATTTTGGCTTTTTGCTATTAAACATGTCCAATAAAAAAATATAAAAAATCAAATTTCATCATAAATTTAGGCCAAAATGTATTCTGCTACATGTCCTTGCTAAAACAAAATCCCAATATGTGTAAATTAATTGGTTTATGTGAAAGAATGTTTACAAATGGTGGTATAGATACTGGAATTTTTTTTAATTTTTACTAGTAATGGCGGTGATCAGTGACTTATAGCAGGGCTGTGTGACATTCTGACACTGGGGAGAACTGACTTGGTGTCACTGACATCCCCAGTGACACCAATACAGTGATCAGTGCTAAAAAAAAAAGCACTGCCACTGTACTAAAGGCACTGGGCAGGAAGGAGTTCACATGAGGGGTGATCAAAGGGTTAACTGTGTGCTGGGAGTGTTTTACATAGGGGGCCATGTCAGTGTGCTTCACTGTAAACACACTGCTTTGGATGCTGTGCACAGCCATCCAAAGCAGTGTGCCCGAGCTAACAGGGAGGAGAACTGTTAGTAAACAAAACAGTTCTCCGCAAAAGAGATCGTCGGAATTCACCGAGCTCTGGGATCCAGTGATTGACAGCCGTGGCTGTGAATGGTGGAGCGGGTAGGGCCTGTGTGCACCCCCTACCCGGAAATGCAAAATCACGTATATATACATGATTTTGCACACCCATGCCACCCTGTAGCAGTATTTCTGCTATAGAGGGGACTGGAAACGGTTAAGCTGCCTTTTGTTTGCAAAACACCACTTCATCCAGGGCTGCTGTTAGAAATCACAGGGCCCCATACAGCCAACCTGACAGCCCCTCCCTCAAAAACACAGTTTACTATGCTTAATTTATGAATGAACACAGTGATTGATCAGTACCAACCACTCGTTGTGTTCATTCAGGAAAGCAAAGGGCAGATAAGTGTGACTTATTTACTGGACCCTTTTCCACTTTCCATCTTGAAGAATCCTATTGTACACTTGCTGTTGCCCGTGGGAAGGAAAGGACGGAAGCTGGAAGCACTGCAAGGGTGGGATAACACATGGGGGCCTGGGCAGTAGGGGTAAATGTATGGTGCAAAGGGAGGGGCAATTACTGGAACTGATCCCTTGTATGACTCTCTCTGCAGCAGCTGAAAGCCAGTGGGAGGGAGAGGAGAAAAAGCCAGATTTCAGCTGCTGAAGAGAGCCATAAAGGGGATTGGTTACAGTAATTGCCCCCCCCCCCCCCCTGCCGTGACAATCACCCTTCCTTCCCACATCCAGTTAACCTAGCTGCCTGCCCCCCCGCTATCCTGGGCCCCATACAGGAGGACTGGTTGTACCCCCTTATCTATGGCCCTGACTGCATTATTTGAAAAGAAAAATAAGACAAAGAACAGTATTCCCCTTAACCACTTCATATTATATCACTCACATTCAGTGCTTCCCCTTCCCAAAGATGAGATAAAAGTTAGGTATACACCAGTTAGGCTTTTTATGCCTGATTAAAATTTTCGTTCTGCTGGTCAATTTTACACTGTAGTAGAACACCTGCCTGTACTATCTTTCTCTAGTCCATTTCAACCAATTCTCCCTCATTAAAAATGTCCTCCTGCTGGGCAATTTTACACTGCTGTATCATCAGCAATCTCTTCATTCTTAATGAGAGCTTGATAGAAATTGACCAGTTGCAGGACAATTTTGCATCAGTGAGAACAGGGACAGCCACAACAAACTACTGGCTAATTTCTCTCCGCCAGTCAAAGCAGGTCTATAACCATGTTATAAAAGAGCATGAGTCTCAAAGCTGCATGAAAAAAACCTCTCTCTGCTGTATGGTATTTAAAAAACTCTTTTCTGTATAGGTACATGTCCCCCCATGGATGTTCTCAGCTTACAGTAGGTTGCCTATTAGCTGATTTGCTGCCCATAGAGTTCAATGAAACTTGTCTTGGATTCAATTAATTCTGAACAAGATTTGCTGAGCCCTTGGTGCTCGAACATAGGTAGATTCACCCATCACTACTGATTATCCCAAGATTGGTCAAGAGGGTCTGTTTTCAAAGACAAAGCTCCCAACACTCCCTTAGTTGAAGGGACTGTCCTTTTGGAACCAATTCCCTTCTGTCCCATTCCTCCTCAATGCTGATTTGCTAGTTCTGGTGAACATAAATGTATTATATGACTACCAAAAGTATTGCATTTCTGCTAGATTTTTCATCCATCCTTCAGATTATTGCATTTCTAAAACACTAAAATTAAAAACAAACAGTGGTGAAAAGCCCCCGCAGGTTTAAGTGATCATTCTTGAGCTTTAATTTGGTTGTAAATCTCTGACATGAAAAGCATGTCCCTCTATAGTGTGTACTTGTCTCAGTTAAGGATACTATTGTATTTTTTGTCTGCTGCTTCATTTCTTTGCTATCAACATTAAGTTTTTCTGACACCAAGAAAAAATGGTGACAGAGAGGGAGCTCCAGCAGATTGACAGCCTCAGCTCTGTTCCTGTGAGCTGTTTTTGTGTGTGTGTGTATGTGTGTGTGTGTGTGAGGAGGGGGGGGGGAGTGGGGGAGGGGAGTGTCCCTTCCCTCCAATCAGCTCTCAGAGCTCTCCACACTGAGACCTGCAATGTGTGATTTCAGCTCTCCACCTCCTTTTTTCTGAATTCTCAGACAAGCTGTATACATTCAGCCCTTTTGAACGGATATAGAGAAGAGAAGACTGCAGAAAAGTAGGTACTACTTACAGTATGTAGGAGGATTTGTTTAATCTCTGTGTATCACCTGAGGCCAGTCACTTCACTGGATATATGTAAGGGGTTATAAAATAAAATCGTGCAGCGCTAAGAAAAAGGTTTCAAGTATAATGTCCAAGACATTAGCTCACATGTATCCCAACGAAAGGGAATGTAATGAATAAATATATTAACATTGATGAATAAATAAATAAATATATTTAGAGATCAATAATCAAATAAAAAGTTCCAATCGGGTGACTGTAGTGAATCCTGATCCGGCAAAAAAGTGCTAAAGTGGTATAAGTAATGCACACTCAAAGGACGCGCATATTAATAGCGCCTTATACAAGTAAATACAGGTGTCATCTGATGGGGCCTGAAGCTGAAAGGTCTTTCCTCCAGGGGATGGGTCATCAGATGTGAAAACAGTAAGCCAGGTGTCGGGGTATCCTTATTCCTTCTGGGAGTGGTCATATATCACCAGGTATCCATAAAGCATGGTAGCCCGTCTTGGGATAATGGGTCTGCAGGTTTAAAGCACTCCCCCAGGGAACAGGAATACTCCCATAGTGTAGTAAGTAATAACAACAACTTTATTTTAGATGCATCAAATCGATAAGATCAAGTAGATAAAAATAGACAGCAGTGTGACTGACTATCTAGTGTTAAAGATGGCCGCTGGAGCTCCACGTTGCTCTGGCGGCGTGACGTCACAGCGTGGCTCCTCCTGACGCATATCGTGTACAAACACTTCCTCAGAGGGCGACCCCCCTCTGAGGACATGTTTGTACACGATATGCGTCAGGAGGAGCCACACCACACTGTGACGTCACTCCATTTTTAACACTAGATGGTCAGTCACACTGCTGTCTATTTTATAATATGCGTGTCCGGTGAGTGCGCATTACTTACACCACTTTAGCACTTTTTTGCCGGATCAGAATTCACCACAGTCACCCGATTTGAACTTTTTATTTGATTATTGATCTCTATATATATTTATTTATTTATTCATCTATATTAATATATTTTTTCATTACATACCCTTTCATTGGGATACATGTGAGCTGATATATTGCCGTCTTGGACATTGAAACCTTTTTCTTAGCGCTGCACGATTTTATTTTATATGTTCTTATTTATGGTGTTATTGGTTACCCATTTATGTGCATAGTCGCTCGTTCACACTTACTCCAAGCGCTCACTTTTTCTTTCTATATGTAAGGGGTTACAACCACTTTAAATTGTGTGTGTTATTGGGGGTGTGGAAGGGGTATGTCCTTTGCCTTAATAGTCTTTGCTAAAAGGTATCCCTCTTTCCCACCCCAGTAGGTTGGGAGATATGTTCATATTAAATTAATAGCAGCTATAAATAGATAGATCTGAAACTGTCATATAATGTCAATGGAAACCTAATGTCTTCAGACTATTTTGTACGGTATGCTACTCCCGTGAAAACAGAATTAAAAAAAAATGTAAACATGACAAAAGACAAGGTCAAGATAAAAAAAATTACCAGAAAACCTACAAAACCTACATAACACCAAGAGTTATTGCCTCTGCAAGCCTTACATAAATAGAATGGTTTGGTCACAATCAATATAAAGCTGACTATGGCGTTATATTGAATTCTGATATAAAAAATAAAAATAAATGTGATTGTGTAAATTCTCAATTTAAAAAAAAAAAAATTCTTCTGCTTGCTGATATTTCCTCCAATCTACATCCAACATAATCCTTTCATTCAGGGAATATGAAAAATAGATTTCTGAAAACAGAATTATTTTGTGGCATTGCGGAGTGTTTTCTATTTTATGTATTTTATTGTTTGTACCTTGTCGTGGTAACTTTTCATTTGAATCTTTCATAAACTAGTGAAAATTCAGTAGTAAAAAAGCAGCCAGAGTTGTGTTGCACCTTTATCAATAAGCTTTGTAGAACTCTACATAAATGCATAATGTGAAAAATGATCATACAACCCTAACAATGGAACGGCATCCACAGCTAGCCTCTTTAAACATTTAGGTGGGAAGAAAATAGGAGTGTGGCATGTCAGAATCCTCGGCTGTTACTGTTCAAACCTCACAACAAAGCCCATATGTGTAGTGCCGAAATAAAAAAAAAATGATCACTTGCAAATTAGATATTCTTATGCCCGCCTAGAATTATTCTTCAGGACGGAGGGCTCAATTTTCCAATCTCAGGTGTATGATTAAAATCAATTAAATCAGTCTTCCAATGTCAGAGGCAAGATTCTCCTGACAAATGAAATTATGCAAAAAAAGTGTTCTCTTCACTCTCCTCAGCTCCAATCACAGCCACAAATGAGATTAAAATTCTCAGCTCAGGGATTTCAAAGTGGGATTTTCCATAAAGAACATGAAAAGTCCCAGGAACTTTGTAGTCTGCACTGGTGCTAGGAAGATCTTGATAGCTTGTGAATGTTGGATATGTTCATTTCATCCCCTATCTAAAGTGAAAAGTTAAATAGGGAAGTTTAGCTGTGCCCAGATCATATACATTTTATGAAGCCTCTCGGTTCTGTGCCAGGTAGTCTACAATCATTACTTCGTGTGTTAATCTATTCTAAGGGCATCTGTCATTCATATACAATTGTAGAATCTAATGCTCAGCCAGTTTTTTCTCAAGACCTGGCAACAGCAACGGGGGTGAGGCATTGTTCTAAGTGGCATGATAGACTGCTTATTACAGAAATATGCAGTTCATTCCGATTAATGACGGGTAAGATATATATATATATATATATATATATATATATATATATATATATATATATATATATACATACAGAGAGAGAGAGAGGGGGGACGGAGAGAGAGAGAAAGAGAGACAATTATAAACACATTGGGTAGTATTTATTTATTTGGCATACATATACATACATATATATATATATATATTTATTATGCACTGCAT